TTTTTTTCGTTTGATTTGGGGATGAAATACGATCTAGACTTGTTCCTGACTTGCACCATGATGTTGAGTTGAGCTGCAGAGTTAAAATCGTATTGTTGATGCTCTTTTACTGGCTACTCTCAGACTTCATTGAACAAGGCTGTGAAATTTATTTTTTCTTCTTCTCTTTTTCCTTCAGGTGGCCATAAAAATAATTGATAAGACACAACTTAATCCTACCAGCCTTCAAAAGGTAAACATTTCAGGATTACTGCTGAGCTATAAAAATCCGCTCCCCCTCGTTCTCAGTCTCCCTATCCTTTTCTCTTTTACTGGTTTAAGGACAAGAGTGTGCGAGAATGGAATCCCCTTTTGTCCTTCCAGAGCAAATTAAACATTAACCACATATGTAGATAGCAGCATTACTGTATTTCTTTGCAAGGGATGGTTGCCTTTGGACTGCTTGTTTTATTGCCTATTTTTTAAATCCCCGTTGTTATCTTTTTGATTTGACATTAGTTGACACATTCGTTTTCATCAGCACAAGATGCAAACCAAAAATCAAAGGGACTTCTGTTCAGAGTGGTGCATGATGGGAGAGCAGTAGCTGATAGAGGAACCCTCAGTGGACTTGGATTTCAGAGGCAGCTAATAATAGCAGGAGCCGAGAAATCAGAATGAGAGGCTCGAATAATAACTACACATATGCAGAGTGGAAAGCAGAGCGCTTAGAAGGGACTCTTTGCTTAGCTTGGGTCTTCTGGAGTTTGTCATTTCTGATGTCATATTTCGTGCCAAAAAAAAATTGTGACCTTTGTGCATTTTTTTTCATCTGGGTGGACCATATAGATCGCATTGTCACATTGAGGCCAATGTGAGGTGTTGATGTTCTCTTCCGCTGGCTGCCCTTTTCCCTATAATTAGCTGGCACTTGTTTTTCCAGGCCATTGATTTAGGCCGTTTTCCATTTGCGAGCCGATTGACAGCCCTTGGCTTAGGTTGTGTCTCAGGAGGGAAGGTGGTGATCGGTTTGGTGCATAAGGGGAAAGACTGAGTGTGACTGAGCCCCAGTGCAGCCCACTGCGACTCCCAGTATGTATTTCCAATTAAGATGTCATGTCCTCAATAACCTGAGGTTGATTAATGAAGGTCTGTTGGTTAGTATTGAAAATCATCTGTCCTTGTTTGGTTTGCTTTACATTGAGTTTTTAATTGAAGGCATGAAAGGAGTAACTCATTTGCAAAATTTCCTTTAAAGTAATGGTGGAAAAGAAAATTTAGACAATATGGGTTAGCAAATGAATTGTTAGATGTCTTTTTAAAGTGACTGAATGTTATGGCTAATACAGATGTATATGTATCTCTCGATCTGTCTATCTTTCTATACTGTATATTAAATAATGACAAATGTATTTTAAAAGTGTGGAAATTAAATTAACATTCAGACAAGTTTTACTCCAAAATCATTAAAAATATTATCAAATGAACACAAAAGGTGGGAATGTCTGTTACTTTTTTTTTTTTCCTGGTTGATATGACAGCCTACTACTAATTTTAAATATGGCTGGGTATTTAATAATATACACTACTGTTCAAATTTTTTTTTTTTTAAAGAAATTAGTACCTTCATTCCGAAAGGACACACTGAATTGCTCAAAAGTGACAGTAAAGCCATTTATAATGTTATGTTAAAATATTTCCTTTTTAAATAAATGCTGTTCTTTTGAAATCTATTCATCGAACAATGCTGAAAATAGTATCATGGTTTTCATGAAAATATGACACCACAAAACTGTTTTCAACATTGATAATAAGAAATGTTTCTTGATCTCCAAATCAGCATATTAGTATGATTTCTGAAGAATCATGTGACACTGAAGACTGGAGTAATGATGCTGAAAATTCAGCTTTGCATCAAAGTAATAAATTACATTTTACAATATATACAATTGTGAATTGCAATAATATTTCACTGTATTACTGTTTTTTTACTGTATTTTTGATCAAAGAAAATGCAGCCTTAAGTGAGAATAAGAGACTTTTTTCAAAAACATTTAAAATCTTACCGACCTCAAGACTTTTGTGTATGTTTTAAGCCTACGCGACCATAAATAATATGACCAGTTTATTCTAAATGCCATGATTAATGTTAGTTCAAATGTCGACATTTGATGTCTAATTATTTTAGTATTGTTCAAGCATAGTACAGCCCTTCATTTGTATTATTTTTTTGTCTCGACCTCTGCAAAGATACCTCTGTCCATAACTCATGTCAATGACAGTGTGTAATGACTGCTCGTCTGTACTTCATAGTCCTGGACAGGAGGCTGAGTCATTTTCACCGCTGATTCAGAACCTGCAGCCGTTACTCACTTTCACTGCTTGACATTTCAGAGCTCTGATATCTCATGTCTGATCTTTTATATTATTAAGGTAAAAGAGGATGTTAGGGTATTGGTATCCAAATGGGTAACATGCTACACTGCAAATATAAAGGTTGCAATAGGTGCAGTTGAAGAACTGAGTCCTTAGAGACTTTCCTTGCAAGTCGTTTTGGATAAAAACCTCAGCTAAATTACAAGTAACAAGGTAGATGCACTCCCCCTCACTTGCTTTCTGTAGAGACCAGGGTTTCTCAAGCAAAACTGGGTCACAGATTGACTGGAAGAACTTGTTCAGTTCTGGTTTCAGCTTTATCTTTCTATCTTATCCTATTTTTCACTTAAGCATTAGATTCAGTATCAGGTGCAAAAACAAGCTTTTATAATGGCAGTTTATATGTGCTGGGATCTTTGGCGAAGGTCTTGAGTGTTGCTTGTTGTGTAAGTGGATTGTTGTTTTCTTCTCTGGACTTTCTAATGAGACCCACATGTGGGAGTGAATGGGAAGCGATGACCCCGTTTGGTAATAATATCGTCAGTAGTGGACGTCAGTGGAGGAACGGCCCAGACAATGGCTTGGATGGCAGTGCTAGAGTTTATCTAAACGTCTGACCCATATTGACGTAGTCCATATTAGGGCTGGGCATCGTTAAAATTTTTTCCTTGACTTCGATACCGGTTCCTGAACGATACTTTTTTCGATACCAATTTTATGAAATCCATTTGAACAAGATTACGTTATCTAAAAAAAAAACTTTGGTTTTATTTTTCAGCTTGTTGATGTTTATACAAACTCAAAGACTCGTCTCCTGAGCCACTGCACAAAGGAACAAAATGTAACCAACAGAATAAATCAGTGCAAATAGTTTTAATAAAGCTCAAATAGTCTTCAGTTTGCACATCTGTTAGGCTACATTTACACTAGTTTTAAAATGCATAGCTGAGACAGAATAATGATTTCTATTTATTTTCCACCGATTTACTGATGAGCGTTAGCAGCTTCCAGCGCTGTCTGCTTGTGTTCTCTCTTCCATGATCGCTGCTCTGACTCCGAGTCAGAGGTAATAACATTTAATTTCAGCAACAATACATGGCCAAAACACACATTAGACGGCAATCGGAAGTTATTACAAACACTCGATGGTGGTTTAAAGTGAGTTTTGAGTAAAAGCGGAATATAAAAGCCACATCTCTGAGTGTAACCGGTGTTAACTAGTTGGTGTGTTCGACTTGGCACGGACCGACTGTGCAGACCGGTTGGTGTATTACAGTACCACGAGAGCTAAGAGAGCAGACTGCTCCGTGCGCTTTCGAATCGCTCTTGCGAATGATCGATCTGCAGGGCGCACCTCTTCTAGTCGAACACACCGGCTAGTGCTGCAGGCTTATTGGCTCACTGACGACTGATGAGATTAACCCCTTAGGTATCAAAATTTGGTACCGAACGACGAGACGTTTTTCGATACTCAATGGTATCGAGGCAATTCGATCGGTGCCTAAAAAGTATCGAACTCGATACCCAGCCCTAGCCCATATCAGTCCCCACACGTCATATTAATACTATATAGATTAGGTTGTCATTTACTTGCCCTCATAAACCTGTATGACTTAATTTTTTCTGAGGAATACAAAAGAAGATATATTAGAAAAAACTGCCTGTCTGTACAGTGAAAGTCAATGGGGTCCAATGTTGTTTTAGATTTCAGCGTTCCTCGAATTGTTTTCTTTTGTGTTCCACAGAAGACAAAGTCCGTCATACAGGTTTGGAACAGCATGAGGGTATGAATGTGATGACAGAAGATCTTTCGTTTTTGGATGGACTGTACCTTTAATTATGTTTCTGGTTGTTTTCAGGAGTTTTTAACTGTTCATTTGAGACCGTATCAAATCACAATTAGAGTTTTGTGGTTTTTAGTTCGTATTTGTTTGTTTTCAAGTCATCTGTATGCTACTGTACTTCTAAATGTTGACAAAATTACCTTTTATATGCAAATAAGATGTATAGTCTTTCTTTTCTGGGACAACTGACCAAAAATATTGATGATGCACCTTGGTAACGTATTCATATCTAGCATCTTATTCCACACCATTATTATTATTAATAGTAGTAGTAATATAAATTGCTATTTATTTATTTGGAGGGGGACATATATACACATTTTCTAGCATTTATGTAGCAATTCCTCGAATTGTTTTCTTTTGTGTTCCACAGAAGACAAAGTCCGTCATACAGGTTTGGAACAGCATGAGGGTATGAATGTGATGACAGAAGATCTTTCGTTTTTGGATGGACTGTACCTTTAATTATGTTTCTGGTTGTTTTCAGGAGTTTTTAACTGTTAATTTGAGACCGTATCAAATCACAATTAGAGTTTTGTGGTTTTTAGTTTGTATTTGTTTGTTTTCAAGTCATCTGTATGCTACTGTACTTCTAAATGTTGACAAAATTACCTTTTATATGCAAATAAGATGTATAGTCTTTCTTTTCTGGGACAACTGACCAAAAATATTGATGATGCACCTTGGTAACGTATTCATATCTAGCATCTTATTCCACACCATTATTATTATTAATAGTAGTAGTAATATAAATTGCTATTTATTTATTTGGAGGGGGACATATATACACATTTTCTAGCATTTATGTAGCAACTAATACCATACTATAATTATTATGATTGTTGTTGTTATAAATGAATGTATTTATTTATTTACTTTTTTTGGAGGGGGAGGTATAGACATTTTCTCACATTTATCTAGCAACTAATTAGGGATGTAACAGTAGGAAAATTTCTTATCACAATTATAGTGACCAAAATGATCACGCTTATCAGTATTATCACGGTATTGTTAAAATGTGCTGGGAATGTTC